AGAGACAAGCAAGGCCAACAGCTTCATAACTAATATAGCCTCCTGTGTGTTTATTTGGGGACTACAAAGCAGCAGAGCCCAGGCAACTGGTGGGGGATAAACCAAAGCAGCTAGCAAGGAAAAGCTGCCCTTTACAATGCCCACTTGATGCGAGTCTGCACTTTGAAATGTTTAGTCTTCCTATCAAAAGTACTCCATTTGCTGTCTGGAATTAGCCACCTTGGGGCATTGTACTGGTATATCTAGGACCAAAGCCCCAAATGCCAATCTAGAACACAGAAAGTAAGAAAATACAGTTAATACAAGCAAGATACACAAAAAGTGGAGGTTAGCTTTCTAAAGGAATGAGCTAAACTTATTCCTAAAGGAATAACCTATCCCTCTTCTGCTGCCCACAGCCAGGCTTCTCTAAGACTGGATGGAGCCAAAACCTGGACTCTCTGGCCTGTTTATTTCCTGAAGCAGACAGTTCCCCATGTCCACTTCCCTGCCAAAGGCTAGTAAGATGACATCTCTGCCTCAGATCTCAGACTACCTGGTTGGGACCCTTGGTATTCATTGAAATGGATGGCAATGGTAGCTGGTGGATTGCTGGCAACTCTCTGACCAAAATCTGTGATGGTGTTCAGAGAGGAACTGATGACATCCATCTCCCAGCCAGGATGTTCCCAGTACCAGATGGGCCTACACCTAGCCACTCTTTAAGCAGTCTCTTAGGACACAATACCCTCAAATGACACATGGCCCCACCCTCACATGTATGATGCACTGCTGGGCTGGAAAACTCTGGAAATCTGCCCCCTGGGTACTCAAATACAAATCGAAAGTGTATACTTGCCAGGCGTTGGTGGCGCACGCCTTTAATCCCAACCCTGGGGAGGCAGAAGCAGGCGGATCTCTGTGAGTTTGAGGACAGCCTGGTCTACAGAGCAAGTTTCAGGACAGCCTCCAAAACAATAAGGAGAAACCCTGTCTCGAAACTCTCCCCCCACAAAAAAAGTGTATACATGTCATTAGGCCACGGTACCAGGCCTTGCTAGAATATCTTACCTTCTTTCCTTTCAGGGTGTCACTCCCACGCCTGCTGAACCCCCATACCTGGCACAAGAGTCTCGGTTTAGCTTTAGGACAATCTTCCCAGGCCACCGTGGCCCCCTCTTCTGTGTCACATCTTCTGCTGCCTCGATGTGTAAGCACACGGTTGCATCTGGGACCCACTGGATAATCTAGGATAATCTCACGTCTCAATATCCTAATGCAATTATGCCTGCAAATACCCTTCACCACAGACGATATAGAATTGCACTATGGCAATGGAGGTCCAACACTGATACCTACTTCTCCAGCTGCCTGCACTGCTATTACCATTCGGTGTAACTCTCCAGACACATTCGTCTTTACGCCCCCATAAGACACTCCTACCACCATGGCTTTCTGCAGGCACAATCCATCAGATTTACGCAGCTTTTATACCCTGCTTTCCATTCTTTCTGGTTCTCCTGCATTTGACTAGGGATCATTATCTTTCTTCTTGAAGAACAGCATATAAAAAATAAAAATGGGTGGCAGGAGTTGTTTTCACAATTTCTCTAAAATGTTTCCATTCAACCTCTGCTTTTCAAAGTATCTGTGTGACTATGTATGACATATAGATATGTTTCTCACTATGTTGCCCAGGCTGGCTTCAAATTCTTAGGCTCAAACAATCTTCCTGCATCAACCTCCTGAGTGTCTGAGAATTGAAGCATATATCAAAGCACCCAACTGGGATTTTTTTTTTGCCGAACTTATAATTTTAAGTTGCCAGTTACTTACATGATAGTTAAATTTTTTTGTCAATGTGACACAAGCTAGTTTCTTCTGGGAAGAGGGATCCTCAATTGGGAAAATGTCTCCCTCAAATTTGCCTGTAGGCAAGTCTGTGGGGGCATTTTCTTGATTAGTGGCTGGAGTGGCTGGGTTCAACCCACTGTGGGTGGTACAACCCTGGGCAGGTGGCCATGGAGATCAAGCCAATAAGAGCTTTCCATCATAGCCTCTGCCTGGAGTCCCAGCCCTGACTTCTGTCAACGATGACCTGTGATTGGGAAGCATAAGCCACATAAACCTTTTCCTCTCCGGTTGCTTTTTGGTCGGCATGTTTTATCACAGCAAAAGAAAGCAAGCTAAGACGTCTGCTTTCAGGACTCAGAAAGTTTGCTTTCAGTCTTCAGGTCCTGTCGTTGAAGAATCAGTGTTCATTTTATTGCTTGGATCTTTGGGACACTAGCTCATTTCCGTTTGGCTGCTTCCAGTATTGTTTTGTTGCTCTATTTCATCCTTTTCCTCTTGGTCTTTACAGCTCCGTTTAAATTTTTTTCCGGTGCTGGAGATCTGAATATGACTTTGCACATACTAAGCAACACCTGTACCATTGAACTACAGTCCCAGTTAAGATGTGAGTCTCCTGCTTCAGGCTTCTGAGGGCTAAGATTACAAACACACACCACCATGCCAGGATCTTTATAGTGATTTAATTTTTTTGAGATTTATGTTTACTTTATGTGTTTGGGTGTTTTGCCTGCGTGTATGTCTGTGTACCATGTGTGTGCAGTACCTGTGGAGGCCAGAAGACAGTGTTGGATCCCCTGGAGCTGGAGTTTACAGACTATTGTGAGCCACTGCATGAGTGCTAGGAATTGAACCTGGGTGTAGACAGATTTTACTGTCCCACCATCCAGCTCACAAATCATGACATGGAGACTTATTAGTAATTATGAAATCCTGGCTTATAGCTTAGGCTTGTTTCTAACTAGCTCTTATAACTTAAATTAACCCGTTTATATTAATTTACCTTCTTCCTCATGGCTTTATTACCTCATCTCTGTATTGCCCATTCTGCTCACTCTGCATCCGGCTGGCGACTCAGCCCTTCTTCCCAGTGTCCTCTGCACCCCAGAAATCCTGCCTTAGCTATTGGCTGTTCAGCTTTTTATTAAACCAATCTGAGTGACACATCTTCACAGTATGCAAAAAGGTTATCCCATAACACCCAGGTCCTCTGGAAGAGCAGTCAGTGCTCTTAACTGCAGTCAAATGCTCTACCACTGAGCTATACCCCCGCTGGCCACTCAGTGCTCTTAACTGATGAGGTACCACTCCAGCCCACACAATGGTTTGTTTTTTAATCTGATAGCTTGATTCTCTGTGTGTGTGTGTGTGTGTGCACGCGTGTGTGTGCGTGCACAAATGTGTGTCCATGGAGATCAGTATTGGGTGTCTTCCTCCACCTGTGTGTTCTTTAGCATTTTACTTTTTGTGTATTTATGTGTAGAATCACCTGAGTGCCGCAGCATGCAGGTGGAGGCCAGAGGGTTGCAGGAGTCGCTTCTTTCTTTCTACCATGTAGATTCCAGAGATTGATCTCATGCCATCAGGATTGGCAGCTACTGTTCACATCCACTATGCTATCTCACCAGCTCCGCCTGCTTTTTGAGACAAGGTCCCTCAAATGCAGAGCTCTCAAATTCTGCTAGACTAGCTAGTCAGCAAGCCCCAGGGATCCTCTTGTCTCCATTCACGCCTCCCCTCCCCCAGTGCTGTGATTAACAGCATGTGCCACCACACTCAGATTTTCCACCAGGGCTCAAACTCAGGTCAATTTACTAACTCAGCCATCTTCCTGGCCCCTGAATTTCTTAATAAACTTTAGGAAGTTATCACTATGGCCCCTTCAAATACTATACATGTTCTATTCCCCCTTGTTTCCAGCTGCAAACTCAATCATACCATTAGACCTTTTCTCCAAGTCTGTCCTGTGGTTTCTGTTAATATTTTTCTGTATTTCTGTATGAACTGTCTCCCAGATCTATCTTCCAGTTCCTTGCTCCTGTCTTTAGCTGGATCTGCTTTGTAGCTAATCTAATCCAGTGAGGTTCTGCTGCCTTTATGATGTGCACACAACAAAAGAGACCAATTTAAATTGTGCCACTTGATAAGTTTTCATGTCGTTTTTATATTTTCTTCACATTTTTTTGGTTTTTCGAGACAGGGTTTCTCTGTATTGCTTTTGGAGCCTGTCCTGGAACTCACTCTGTAGACCAGGCTGGTCTCAAACCCACAGAGGTCCACCTGCCTCTGCCTCCCAAGTGCTGGGATTAAAGGCATACGCCACCAACGCCGGGCTCCTTCTTCAACATTTGTATGTTGAGAAAATTCCAAGGAGCTGGAAAGATGACTTAGTGGTTAAGAGAACCTGGTGTTCTTGCACAAGACCCAGATTCAGGTCCCAGCACCCACCTGGAGGCTCACAACTACCTTTAACTCTAGTTCCTGGGCATCTGACACTCACTTCTAGCCTCCACGAACACCATGCAGGTATATGGTGTACCTACACACATGCAGGCATTCACACACACACACACACACACACACACACACACACACACACACACGTAAAATAAAGAAATAGGCAGCTGGATGAGCTGGAAGGCAGAGGCAGGATCTCTAAGTTTGAGGTCAGCCTGGTCTACAGATAGAGTTCTAGGATAGCCAGGGCAACACAGAGAAACCATGTCTCAAAGTTAATAATACTAATAATACTAATATTAGTAATGATAATGCCAGGCATGGTAGCACATGACTTTTATCTCAGCACTCAGGGGGCAGAGGCAAACAGATGCCTGTAAGTTCTAGGCCAGCCTGATCTACATGGCAAGTTCCAACCCAGCCAGGGTTACATATGGAGACCTTGTCTCAATAACACTTTTTTTCAGATGTACAGAAAAGTTAGGATGGTGGTATATGTTTTTTACCCTGGGTCCACCAATCATTAACATTTTTTTGCTGAATTTGCTTTTCTTCACGTATTATGCATATTCATATTATTACTCTTTGGTTTGAACTTCAGAGCCGTTTGGACAAAGATCCTTTGACTCCAAATATGTCAGCCCAAATTGAAAGGAACAAATGCATCTCCATCCCCACTGTGACGCAGTCAAGTCATTTAACCACCTTGGAACTGCGAGTGACAGAATTTTATTGAGCAACATACAGTACATTTTCTGTGAGCTTAATCATCTTTTCCTGACCCAGGATCCATTCCAGCACCAGTTAATCACACACTGTTGATTCATTAGCGTTCATTAGCTTGAGCTTCCTAGAGTGGCGGGAATATGTCCTCTTCTGTCAGGTGGAGTATACTAACCTCCACTCACTCAGGGACATGGGGAGATTTGAACTTCAGTTCCTGGAGGACAATGCAGTTTCTGTATCACCTTCACTTTCAGAGTTTAGTCCTATAATGTGCTGAGCCTGACCCTCAGCTTCTGTCCCACAACCACCGTAAGACTGTCCCAATTTCACAGCTTCTTGGCCACTACTTCCATGATTGAAACTATTTCCTAAGCTGTGATCCCCAAGGATCCTGCCCTCACTGGTTGTTCTAAGGAAGGTTAGTCTGAAACAATCTCCCCCCCACTGCTGGCTCCCTCTTTAGTTCCAGCCTGGACTCTTTAGTGTTACTTCAACAGTTTAGGTTACTTAAAATGCTCCACTCAACCTTTTAGCAGTTTTCTCTGGGGTATTTCCTGTCTTTGCGTTGTTTCTAGAATGCTCGGGGTGATGTTTACCCCCACTTGTCTTTTGGATCTTTTAGTGCATCTTGCTATGTGGTTCAGGCTATCCCAATCACTTCTGTTTGGTGTTGTGAGTGACCAACATTGATGCTATGCTATCACTATTTTTTTTTTTTTTTTTGGCTTTTCGAGACAGGGTTTCTCTGTATTGTTTTGGAGGCTGTCCTGGAACTAGCTCTTGTAGACCAGGCTGTCCTGGAACTCACAGAGATCCACCTGCCTCTGCCTCCCGAGTGCTGGGATTAAAGGCGTGCGCCACCACCGCCGGGCTACAATTCAAATCTTAAAGACTTGCACTATCAGCCCCGCCTTTCACAGACATCCAGGATTGACCGTTGGCTGTCACTAGAAGCGTCTCCGACCACGCCTGTCTTACAGCAGCACCATTTCAGGAAAAGGCATAGATCCACTCTGCTCAAGCGCTGGACTTTCTCCTCAAACCCAATCCTTGGAGCAGTCTCGCAGCGCCATCTTCTGGTACAGCTCTTTTCCTCCACTCCTCACGAGACTCACAAGTTGTGTCTGATTTGCTTTTCAGACCTCCGATCGGCCTCCAGAGAGACCTTTCCGGACATCGCCAAGAATAATGGCCTCACGGAGACGCTCAAGGCCAGGGTTTTTCCAAGCACTGCCAGTGTTGGTTCGGCGTTTGGAGCGTCTGAGACGCGGCGGCTTGGGCGGAACTCGCTAGGGGAAGAGGCGGCGCGTGCTGGGGTCTGTCCTTCCCGGGCCTGGCGGCGAGCGATCACGTGGGGCGCTACCCGGAGGCGGAACCGCTGCTACCGGGACCCAAAGATTTGCAGATCGGGAGCGCCGGGACACCTCAGCCATGCGTCCCCCGCATCTCCTCTCCGCTACGCTGGCGTTTCTAGCTGCGTTCTTGGCGGAGGCCTTGGCTCTGACTGAGACCCCATACCTGGTGCGTGTGGATGCAGCCCGCCCTCTGAGGCCTCTGCTGCCCTTTTGGAGGAGCACCGGCTTCTGGTGAGGCCCACCACACGCTCTTGCCAAGTCCAGGAGAGCCTCTTGCTTGTCCCCTGGGTTCCTCTCATCACACCTTTGGGCTCTCTGCCCATCATTCCTGGACTCTTCAGGAGTGAAGACCAAACTCCTTCCTTCAGGGTGTGGCACGGGCTTTCTACTTTCCTGGAATGGCTCCCAGGGATCAAGAGCACGGTACCCAGGCTATAGGATCATGATTGGTGCTTCGGCAGAACCTAGGACTCTCCCCCAAAGTACCAAGACCTGATCTCGAGTGTTGGACCAGACTTGGTTTCTGAATACCTCCAAGTCTCTCTAGGAATGTGCAGATCCTCTTCTATGGCAGGCAGGAATCCTATTAGAGTATAGTACTGTGTCCCGCTGAAGCCCACCCTCCAAAGACAAGGCTGTAGAACATCCCTGGTGAAAGGGCTACTTCATCATAGAATGTGGAGAGACACACTAACTAACCCTCTGCGAGGGCCTGGAAGTCACGGGCTAACTGTGTAGAACCTGGTCTGACGCAGGCCCCTGCATAGGATAAACACGGCACTTCTTTGTCCTGTCCCCAGCCCCCCACTGCCTCATGACCAGGCTTACCAGTACGACCTTAGTTGGGACCAGCAACTGAACCTTGCCTACATAGGTGCCGTCCCTCACAGTGGCATCGAACAGGTCCGGATACACTGGCTGCTGGATCTCATTACAGCCAGGTGGGTGATGCTGAGGTGGGTGCCCTGGGAGCTGCTGCTGGTCTGAGCCTGTCTTACAGAGATGCCGAGTCGGTGGATCCGACCCTGTCGGGCCAGCTGTGGAGTACAGCGCTGGGCTGTGGGGTTAAGGAGCATCGAGGCAGGGCACAGGGCTGGGACTTTGCTTCCTATTAGAAGCATCCTATTGGGCGGAAGAGGAGGGGAAGGTCGGCTTGGCTATGCCCCTGGATGGGGCACAGGTGGTTTCCTTTTGAGGGTTTCTTAGAGTACAGAATGGGGTCGGTATCTACTGTGCCTGGCTTTACACCATGCCTGTGTCACATTGTGGTCACCAGTATAAGCTGTGTAGGGACATAGTGCCTGAAGGTCAGCTTGGGGTTATATCAGTCATATCACCATAGACGGTGACACTGGACCATCTGCTCTGGGGCAGGTGACTGCCTTTGCAAGGGCCCAACCAAGATGAGCACCGGGCTTGAGAAGGCCTTTTGGAAATTCAGACCCTCGCCCCTTGGCTGATACGTTCAGTTCATACCTGATACCTGGTAGTGCGGGGTGGGGGGAGGGAAAGTGTCCTTTTGTCATCTTGGAGGGCCACCCAATTAGCAGGACTCTGTTTCAGATAAGAGGGTAGCACAGAATATCCAACTGGGCACTGCCTTGGCTGAGGGATCGTGTGTGTGTGCGCGCGCGCGCGCGCGCGCGTCCCCAGGGTTGAATAGGCACCAGGAGGCAGCAGTGGTCTCAGAGGTAGAGGGGTGTCAATCACTGAATGTTTGGACTCCTTGGCTAGATGTTCCCTGGCAGAGATGGTCGAAGGGTATATCTCTCTAATAATGACTCCATCCTTCATATCACTCCTGCAAAGGAGCTCAGTGCTGGCTTGTGTGCATGGGTCTTGGTCCTGCTAGAAGGCGGAGTCAGAAGCCACCAGCTCCTCACGGCGGGCTCGTGCAGCCTCCACAGCACTGTGTACACTGGGAAACAGCAGCTCATCCTCAGCTCCCTGGTCTTCCCCAAGGAAGCCCCCTCTCCTCAGTGTGTCTCTCACTGAGGGACTGCAGCAAGCCAGGAGCAGGGTGATGTCCAGGGCCCTGTAGTTTCTCTGCAGGTCCTTCAGTGTGGCCATGCCAGCCACGTCCAGGAACAGCAGCGGTGCACAGTCAATGACCACTGTGTGGAAACCAAATGCCAGGGGTATCACCAGCCCAGCCCCACTGCTCACTGAACCCATATCCTGGCCATCAACACCTACCTCGGGGCCCTTCTCCTTCCTGGTGGCTGAACGCCCCGCATCCAGTCCCGTGAGGCTGTAGAGTGACCGCAGGAAGAAGTCCTTGTTGGCGTAGTAGAGTGGGCCTGTGAAACGGAACACTCGCACCTCAGGTGGGGGCAGGAGGCCCTCAAACTCAGTAGCGTCTTCATAGAAGGTTGAGTCTCCAATTCGGGCAAGAAGGGCAGCCCGTGGACGCTGTGTGCGGCCTGCCAAGCTGAGCAGCGAGAAGAACACCCCAGCTAGCAGCCCAGCTTCAGTGCTGACTAGCACGCAGGTGGCTGCAGTAGCCACCCAGACCAGCGCGTCGGCAGGGCTTAGCCGCCATAGCTGTGGGAGGTCCTTCACCTTGCGCAGTGCCCCACGCAGGCTGACGACAATGATGCAAGCCAGCACGCACCGTTGCAAATCGTGAAACAACGGAGCCAGCACCAGCAGCACCAGCAGCACCACGGCGGCGCTGACCACGCTGGACAGCTGTGTCTGGCAGCCAATGGCTGTCTTCACCAGGGTTTTGGACAGAGCCGCACTCGTGGCGAAACAGTGGAAGAAGGCGGGGAGCACGTTGCAGCAGCCCACGGCGAGGAGCTCTTGGTTGGCGCGGGCGGAGTAGCCATGGCTGCGAGCAAACATCTCTGCCAACGAGATGGAGAAGGCTGAGCCCACGAGTGCTAGGGACGCAGCGTCCAGGGCCACGTGCCACATTATCTTAGGGTCCGGTACCTGCGGGGCCACAAAACCCGTGGGAATGCTGCCAGCTACACTTGAGCCAAACCGAGTATGGAGCTGTCCGAAGTGGGATACGAGTGTGGCCACCACAATGACCAAGAGCTCTGTGGGTACTGGCACCTTCAGGTAGCGTCGGTAGCGGTCTGAGAGCTCCTTAGCTGCTACCAGCACTCCTAGGCACACGGCACTGGTGATCACGTCGCAGATATTGGCCTGTCCCACACTGTGCAGCAAGCTCAGCCACGTGTGGATTACCATGCCTGGGCCCTGGTGCCGAGGGATCCGCACACCCAGGAGGTGTTTAGCCTGAGAAGTCAGGATGGTCACGGAGGCTCCCATAGCAAAACCGTCAAGCAGTGGTTGTGAGAGGTAGGTTGACACAAAGCCCAGCCGGAGGACGCCCATGAGGACCTGTAGAGGAAGTAAAGTCAGTTCTGTAGGCCGTGAGACGGGAGCCAGCATCGATATAGCCCAAAAGGGTTAGGGTTACAGCTCAGAGCCTGGTTTCTGCCCTTGCTTACTCCCCTGAATGCAGGAATTTGGTTTGGTTTCAGAATCGGGGCTGTAGGCATAAGGAGGCAGGTCCTTCCTCTGTGCCTTGTATGCAGCACACAGCTCTGTCCACCCAGACCCCTCCTGAGCAGCCACAGAGCAGACAAGAGGGATAGGGAAGACAAGGTCAGCAGGAAAGCGCCAAGTGTGGGGAGGCCAGGGGAATGCGTGTCTACTCCTGGGTCCTGCCCAAGTCAGAAAGCCAAGGTGGACGTTGGGGTTGTAGTCTAGCTTATCTGAACCATGGCCACATCTGGCCCAGTGGCCCTACTAAGACCACAGCTGGCCAGGCCAGCCCCACGCCCCACATATCCCTCCATTCTGTGACTTATGTCCCTCTGGTACCTAGGCCTGTGCTCCACCTCTGCCCTTGCTGTGCTGTTTTCTCTCTGAGTCTGAAGGATTCTTCCTCCACAGGACTCTAGGCTTCTCATGGTGACGATGGCAAGCGCCTTTAGGTGCCCTAAAGACCGAGCCGGCTAGCCTGCTTGCCATGCGGATAGCTCCTCACCTGATAAAGCCCAGTCACCAGAGTGAGGGCAGTGGCGATTCGGATGGCATGGCAGTCCCGTCCGCAGTCCTGTAGCTCAAACACCGGAGTTGCAGTTGAGCTGTTGAGGGTGCTGCCATTGTCCCTAGGCCCCAGAGAATCCTGGGAGGGGTCGAAACCCGCCAGCTGGAGTTCTCGGTCCACCACCTGACCTACCATGAGGCACAGAAGACTGAAGATGCCCACGTTAACATGGCGTGAGGTGCCCATGAGGAAGTAGATAAGGTTGGCGAAGAAGGAAGTATAGAGGCTATAGATGGGCTGCAGCCCAGCCAGCAGGGAGTAGGCTATGGCCTGTGGCACCAGGATAATGCCGATGACCAAACCAGACATCACGTCACCCGCCAGGTACTCTTTAGGGCGGTACTGAGGCAGCCAGTGTGTGACAGGAAACAGATTCTGCACCAGAGCCTGAACGCACGGCGTACTGCAGGTGCAGCTCTGCTTCATCCTGGCCTTCAGGGTTTCCAGCAAGCCCTGGGACACAGGGGGCTGCCGTCGGACCAGCACCAGTGTCCCACCCTTCTGTTGGGGCTCAGGAGAAGCATCCATCCTGTCACACCCAGGCTCCTTGGCCAACCTGCAAGGGAGAATGGGCATGGGTTAGGAGTTCAGGCTCTCGGAGCCTATGAGCCAGCTTCCCAGCGAGTGTTTGTCCACTCGGACACAGGCACCAGACATCAGAGGTCGTCCTTCCATCAAGGGCTCGCTTTTCTGTGTAGATGGATGTGAAGCCTTGAGCTCCGAAAGCTAGTTTTATGGTACGAGTACTCGTGACAGCAGTGTGCTTCAGGGAGCCATTCTACCCAGCCTCAGCCCTAGCTGTGCCCTGTGGTCTACCTAATTCAGCCCATCTAGAGCATTCTGAAGGTCACCCACCGAGACAAGGGACAAGGACACCCACATATGCCCAGGCCAGGGACAAGAGAGGCTGATGCATGTTTGACTGAGCTTGAGCTCCATCCATCTGGTCTGGCAAGCGGCTTTGCCAGTCACCTCACTTCCACATCGAGTTCTCCTAAGCCATCACCTGTTCTGTGAACACCATGGGCCTGGCGGTTGGCAGAAGGCCTTGTATATTGTGTGTGCTGGGGCCCCCGGTCTGTGACACCCTTCCCCATGGGTTTAGAGGGTGCCTTGCCAGGCACCAGTGTGCTCCGGAACTAGTATGCCCCTTACTCCGAGTGCCGAGCCTCTTCTCAGAGGCTCAACCACTGCTCCACGGATGTCCACCTTTGGCCTAGCTGCCCTAGCCCCTTCTGACCTTGCCTTGGTTCTCAGGCCATGCTGACCACGTGGTGACCTTGGGTCCTGTTTACAGGTTCCAAAGTACTTGTTTGTAATATTAATCAAACAGTCCTTGTTCCCTTGGGACTCAGGACACGGTGGTGACTGTTGGAGCCCATTGTGCCTGGCTTGGGTACTAGAACAGCAGCTTCCCTGATAGCGTGGTCTCTCAGGCATCCTAGCTCTTGAGGAACATGAGAACAATGATACACAAGAGCCACTGGACACTCCGGGGCTCACCCCACGTCTTTAGGGGCTCGTGTGTGTGGAGGAGGGACTTTAAGTGTCACCTGCCTTGTATCTGAGCAGTCCCCAGAGAAATAGCAGTCTAGGTTCCTGCCTCTGCCCAGTAAGCCACATCTTCTGGGGTCTGTTGTTTGGGTACAGGGACGGTTCTTACCTGGGACACCTGGCTGGTTCTGTAGGCTTTGCGATATCCAGGGACTGCAATGGGCTGAACTTCCGATCACTCTGACTTCTGTTAACAGGCGGAGAACAAGGTTGGCAGGCACTTCTGAGACTGACCTGTGGGAATAATGTGCTGGGCTTGCTGTTAAATTATTTACTCCTCAAATAGCTGAGTCATGGGTTTCTCCCGCCAAATGAGTGTTACCTGAGCGTCTAATCCGGTGAGCTAATCCGGCGAGTTGTACTATAATCAGAGGCTCACAAATAATTATGGTTATGTGGGCCTCTGATAAACACCCCTCTGCAGAAGGGGTGGGTGCTCCAGGTGCAACAGCTTCTGTCTCGTTAGGAGAGAGAGGAGGTGGGGACAGGAGTGGTGAGGCAGGGTGCTTGGGTGTGAGTCCCCAGAGGATCCAAGTAAAACGCTTAATCTATGAGGTTCTGGGGTCATGTACAGCCGACTCCACCTACCCAGATGCTGGTTCTCTTGTGTCTACCTTCATGGAGCCTGTTGTAACTGGGGCAGGCTGAAGCTCAGTCTCTGTTCCATGTCTCTGTGTGGGGTATATGCACAAGGCTACTGCTTGTGTGTGCATACTTGAGTGAGTGAACACACGCCTGCGTTGTACACAGCCCAAGGACTGTCAGCATCAAGACAGGCGTGTTCTTCCCTTGGAGGCAGGGATCCTGGATTGGCCTCGGTTCCTGCCCCCCCCCGTGCCTTCTTTTCCTCTCCTTCCTGGTACTGACCACCTGTGATCATGGTCAGGTACTCGGCCCCCATGTACCTCTGCAGGACATGGGATTTGCCTATAGACAAATGGCCCCTTAACATTAGCACAGTTAAGCAGTGCCCTCAGACTTAAGGAATGCCTCTAAGTTCGGTAAGGCTGGTCAGAACCTCAGACCCACAACGAGTCTCTCACACGTGCTTGAGAGTAAGTAGTTCTCTTCTGTGGGCTGCTGTAACCCGGATACCTTCCCATCCTGGAGATGGTCCCTTCATTATGGCTGGAAGGCCCAGCTAGGCTGGTGTGCTGTCTCCACAGGCCCACGCACAGTGGGCAGTTTGCCTTAGGACCGGACAAAGTGAAACTGTATCCTTTGCTGCTCTTATCCACCAGGCTCTTGAGAAGGGGCTTGGGATCAACAGTTGTCTTGCAGAACCAGCTGGGACCTTGAGACTCCATTCCTCCAGGTCAGGAGACAATAAGAATTCAGAGTCCCTTCCAGTTCACAGGTTGGACAACTCCTTTGGGACATCTGCAAGCCTGGCGGTCCAGTTTCTGGCCGTCACAGGCCTGGCCAACACCCTGCTTGTGGGTAAAATGAAAATGGAGTGTGGGTGGGATGGGCAAAGTGGGAAGCCTTGACTGTGAGACTAGGCAGGGCTGGATGCTCTGTGGGTTAGATATTCCTCCGCCTTTGTTCTCAGGATCCCCACCTGGATGCTGTCCTATCTCCCCAAGTGGGTGTGCTGTACCTGGAAGAACTTATTTAGGGCCCCAGGGTCTTAACTTGTTATGCCCTACCTTCGTAGGACTGGGCCTCCTTTTTCCCTTACAACAAGCCCTGAGCCACTGTTTGCACAGCAGTTGGGAAATGTGGTTTACAGGAGCAGTTATGAATGGGTGTGGTGGGACTAGTCAGAGCAGCTCCTCTTTTGTCAGATAAAAGGCTCCTTTAGTGGTGGTGGGGATAGTTACTGGGGGTGCCATAAAGTGATAGCCTACCCAGTTGTCCACAGAGGGGCCCCTGGGGAATGTGCTGTTGCTACATCTTTGAGAAAGGCAGAGCTGAAGTTGCGGAATGGATGCACCTGTAAAGACGGAGGTGCTGGGGTGAAGGAGAGGGTAGGCCCATTCACCTTCCCTTCGAAGCAAAGAAAACCTTGTAGGAATGGTCCCTCCCTTCTCTACTGCCCCGCGTGGGAGGGATTGGGCCTTACCTCACACCCCCCATCCTCCACTCTCACCCTGCCTGCCGGGTGTCCACAGCCAATTGAAATGTAGGTGAAGTCATGTCTTCCATGACTTGCCATCAGCTCCCTGCCCTACTCATTCTTCTGCCTCTACAGCTCTGTGCGCTCAGGGTGGTGCTGCAATGGGTGTGACCAGGCCCGCTGTCCCAATGTGCCCACTGAGCTGCAGGATTCTTGGCTTGCTGCTGGACACATAGAGGGCAGGGGGGTATGGGGCCCATAGGTCTCCCTATGCGGCTCAGTGATTTCCTTCTTTTGTTTCTAAATCCACCATTTAAATCTTGGATACATTTTATTTGGGAAGAAAACATTATACCCTGTCCAGCAGTTGAAAATGATGGACCAAACAGAATGTCTTGCCCCAAAACTCGGCCGAGCTCGCACCTTTCTGAGGCTCGCATCTTTCTGGGGCTTCAGCCGGTTCTGAGCGTTTCCGAGCTCCACGCACCACCCCCATCCCGCTTGGCATTCTGCATAGTCGGCGTCCACAGACCGTGTTCTCCCCGGATCCTCCCAAGCCTGCTGCATGCACCGACCTTGGTGCAGCCCGGGTACTGGTGCACACCTCTGCAGGTGCGTTCCGCCTCCCAGCCGGCTCAGGTTCCCCCGCTCTCACCCAGGCACTCACCAGCCGCTGCGGGCCTCATCCTCTAAGCGCATGCGCTCCGCTTCTAGCGGGCGGAGGCCCAGAATGAAAGGGCCCTTGTGTGGCCTTGCTAGTGTGGCTGCACCTTTGGAGCCGCTGGGCTATGGCTCAGGCCGCTCTGCAGATGGCAGACTTCCCTACACTTCACCTCACTGACTTGTCCCCTCCCCAATTTAGGATCTTTAACACCATCACCCTCCAAGGCAGCAGGCAGAAAGGAACTAATTCCCAGTGAGGACAAAGGATTCCTGGGCATGGGGGGCATCTGGATGGTCTGGCAGGCATCACTATTGAGGCTGACGGGGATATCAGGCAGACAGTCAGGTCCATACAAGGTTGCAGTCTTGGGACATCTCTGATGTGAAAGACTCTAGCTCAGAAACAGCCCTGTTGCTCTGCCTGGTCTGTGAAAACGGGGAGCTGGTGACAGCTTCTAACTGACCCCAACAACTTGGGACTTTGGAACATGTGTTTAATCTTTATCCAAGTGCTTGTTAGATTGTGTTTGTTTGCAACAGGTCTTGACCGTTTGGGTAGGAAGGGAAAGGGCCAAGCGTGTCTTGTTTTGTAGCTCTAGGCAGCGGCTCCCATACAACAGGCACAGAGGGCAGACTGGGAGAAGCAGGGCCTGAATTTGGTGGCAGTAGCCAATGTGATGTGCCTAGAATTGACGCTTCTTGTAGAGGTGGTTCTATCACACACAGTAGAAACTGTCTCTGACCTACCATCCCACCCCAGATAAACCTATGAGCCATGTTACATATCTCTGGGGCAACGTGTCTTTAGTAAACTCTCAGAACCTGGCAGGACTGACACCTTGTACTTGTTGGCTGGTGCCTTCAAGCTACCTAGGCTGCATATTCAGCCCTCAGGTCTTCTCTGCATCCCTTCCCCAGAACTTTAAGCCAGAGGCAGCCCCAAGCATCAGTGTGCTGAAATTCATGCAGTTGTCCTGTTGAGCTCACCTCAGACCTGACAGTAGACACTCTCCTGGCATCACTCATTTCATTCCTGTTGACGTCTCCTGCTTCCACCTCAATCAGCCACCACCAGGACCTTTGTTCTGATCACCACCTTACAGGTTTCCTATTTTGCTGAGTTGTGTGACCCAAGTCATATCCCATCCTCATGTGGTCACAAGCCCCCGTGTAACCCCGTTCCTGGCTCTGCACCTTTATTCTGCTCCAGGCCAGCTAGCTGCCTTTACTGCTTGGCCACCATTAATTTGCTCCTATTTAAGGGCCTTTGTGCTTGCTTATTCCACAGATAGTCTCATCACAGGCTCATGCCATCGATTGGCAGATCTTTGATTACCTCTTCCGAGTGGTTTCCTCTCCCTGGTCATCTTCCCCTTTCGCTCTGACGTTTCCCCTTTGCCAGGCTTGTGATGTTTTGATAAAGATCCAGCCTCTCAGAAACTGAGCCCTTATAAGAAAGGGCTCAGTATGGATCGAGGAAGCCCTGTGTCTTCTTGTCCATCCATGTTGTTTCTTAGTATGGAGACAGGGAAAGGGACTGTTGGGTCAGATTTGGAGTTTTGGTCTCTGATAGTGTAGGGGATGAGGGTCGTGTCTAACAGTCTCTGCTTGGCTGCTGTCCCATACCCCTGTCCCCATGTCAGCTGTCTTTAAGATGTCTCATCACCTCCCTGCCCCATCCCTATCTTACGCCTTTCCTATAAAACCTCCCTGTCCCTCCCACCTCAGTGTGGTGACTGACCTGGGCCCTACTTGATCTCTTGAAGGTTTCATGCACACACACACACACACACACACACACACACACACACACACACACACACTCATATTTCCCTATGAGTGGTAGAAGCTTCCCTAGTCCCAAATATCCAGTGTCTTTAAGGCTTAGTGTGGGGTTCTATGTGCACGCGCTTGTACATAGTATGTACAGACTTGTACATGCTGTGACAGACTTTTCGCAGTGCTGTTTTTGTTTTTCAAAGGGAAGGCCCATCTAGAAGCCTGGGTCTCCCTGGGAACGTGGGGGTCACCTATATGCTTAAACGTGGTCCTAGTTCTGATCAAGAGTGTGGTGAAGCCGGGCGTTGGCGGCGCACGTCTTTAATCCCAGCACTCGGGAGGCAGAGGCAGGCGGATCTCTGTGAGTTCGAGGCCAGCCTGGTCTCCAGAGTGAGTTCTAGGACAGCCTCCAAAGCAATAGAGAGAAACCCTGTCTCGAAAAACAAAAACAAACAAACACAAACAAACAAACAAACAAAAAAGAGTGTGGTGAAATACTGCTTCTCTCCAGTACTGACCTTCCCTCCACAGAAAGCCATCTGGGCAGGGACTGATGTACAACTTCACCCACTTGGATGCATTCCTGGACCTCCTCATGGAGAACCAGCTCCTCCCCGGTGAGTAGTGACCCTGTTTTCTGCCATTCTGTGTCCCGGGTGGGTAGTGGTATCTCAGCACTTGACTGAAGGGGGCACTGGGGAGATGTAGCCCTGCTGGGGTTGGTGTGTTGGGTAGTGGGGCAGCTACCCCCTGTGCGTTTCAGGATTTGAGCTGATGGGCAGTCCTTCTGGGCACTTCACGGACTTTGAGGACAAGCAGCAGGTGTTTGAATGGAAGGACTTGGTTTCTCTCTTGGCCAGGAGATACATTGGTGCATAGGGGGAGAAATCGGGTGGTGGGGCAGGGCGGGGGTAGGGTGGGGTGGGCGGTGGCTGCAGCGGCTGTCCTAGGGAGGCCCTCCTCCCCGCCCCGATCACCCTGGCCACCTCATGGTCTTCCCTGTCGCAGACATCCCCATACCCCAGCCAGAGATGCCTGATAGGTGAGGGATTCACCTGATGGGGGTGGGAACCAGGTAACTCCCTATCAAATGAAATCCCACCCATGGGGCCCAATTCCCAGGAGACACCAGGTAGGCTCCAAAACCCAGTCCTAAAGGTAGAGCTTCCTGAGTGTAACAGCACAGACACTCTGCAGGTAGGTATGGGCTGGCACATGTGTCCAAGTGGAACTTCGAGACTTGGAACGAACCAGACCACCACGACTTTGACAATGTGTCCATGACCACACAAGGTGCGTAGGGTTTCTTTCCAGATCCCGCTGGGTGGGCTGCACGAGAGGGAAACTTGACAACCCCAGGCCCTAAAGACCCTTCTGCCCTAGGCTTCCTGAACTACTATGATGCCTGCTCTGAGGGGCTGCGCGATGCCAGTCCCATGTTGAGGCTGGGTGGCCCTGGGGATTCCTTCCACCCCCTGCCAAAGTCACCACTGTGCTGGAGCCTCCTGAACCACTGTGCCAATGGAACCAACTTCTTCACTGGCGAGGTGGGCGTGCGTCTGGATTATATCTCCCTGCACAAGAAGGTATGTGTGATTCCCCCGCCCCCTCCGTGCCTGCTCTGAGCTGAGCCTACACTGAGGTATGGGCTGGCTGCAGGGTGCAGGCAGCTCCATGTACATCCTGGAGCAGGAGAGGGCAGCTGTGGACCAGATCCAGCAGCTCTTCCCTGAGTTCAAGGACACCCCTATTTACAATGACGAGGCAGACCCTCTGGTGGGTTGGTCACTGCCACAACCTTGGAGAGCTGATGTGACTTATGCGGCCTTGGTGGTGAAGGTGGGTCCCTGCCTTCCCTCTGGTGGGGGATGGGAACAGTAAAGGTTGCCCAGAGGTACAGGTCCCAACTGCCCTGATGTCCACAGGTCATCGCACAACACCAGAACCTGCTGTTTGCCAATAGCAGTTCCTCCATGCGCTATGAGCTCCTGAGCAACGACAATGCCTTCCTGAGCTACCACCCACACCCTTTCTCCCAGCGTACACTTACTGCCCGCTTTCAGGTCAACAATACTTGCCCACCCCATGTGCAGCTCCTGCGAAAGCCAGTCCTCACAGTCATGGGGCTGATGGCCCTGTTGGGTGAGTAATGACCCTGCTTCTGCATGTGCGGGGTCAGTGTGAGAATACCACGGTAGCCTGGCATGTCCCGGACTGGGTGAGGATCAGCATAGAAGGGTCTTTGTGAACATGGAAATGCCGGGCAGGGACAAACTTACTTCTTCTAGCTGCTGGGTGGGTCTCTTAGGCTTGTTTTCCTAACCTCTACGCCATCTCCTCCTCCCATTCTGTAGGCTGAACAGTATGGCAGGACCTCCCAGTATACAAATAGTGGGAGCCAGGCAGTAGTGTAGGAAGCCAGGAGCTGGGAATGAGGAAGCTAACAGCCCCAGTCTTCTGCCTGGCCTGCAGATGGAGAACAACTCTGGGCAGAGGTGTCACAGGCTGGGGCTGTGTTGGACAGCAATCACACAGTGGGTGTCCTGGCCAGCACCCATCGCCCTGAAGTCTCTTCAGAGGCCTGGCGTACCACGGTCCTGATCTACGCTAGTGATGACACCCATGCACACCTCAACCGCAGTATCCCCGTGACTCTTCAACTTCGTGGGGTACCCCCTGGCTTGGGTGAGTGGGATTCTGAAGGAGTTTGTCATCCCAGCAGGGGTGGGGCAGAGGGAGGTAAACCATGGTGTCTGGGTCCACAGGGCTTGTCTATGTAGTATACTACCTCGACAATCAACTCTGCAGCCCCTACCATGAGTGGCAGCACATGGGCCAGCCAGTCTTCCCTTCTGCAGAACAATTCCGACATATGCGCATGGTGGAGGTCTGTGGGACAGTAGCGAGGGAGGGAGAAGGGGCTCCTTAGTCTGTGGGGAGGTTTGCCAACCACATGCCCCTCCCTTGTCCACAGGACCCGGTGGTTGAGGCACCGCGTCCCCTCCCTGCTGGGGGCCGCCTGACTCTACACCGGAAGCTCTCTATGCCATCACTTCTGCTGGTGCATGTATGCACACGCCCCTCAAAGCCACCAGGGCAGGCAAGTGGCAGCTTCCCACCCTACCCGTGAGGCTGCCTGGTTTCATCCCTTCACAGATACTCCCTCCTCACAGGTTAGCCGGCTCCGTGCACTGCCCCTGACACATGGGCAGTTGGTTCTGGTCTGGTCGGATGAGCATGTGGGCTCCAAGTGCGTGAGTGGGGGTGGTTATCCTCCCCTATGCCATTACCCTTGTGATCTTCCGTCTTCCTCCTCCATTGCCATGTGCCTCTGCGCTCTGCACACACCTGCACAGATCCACTTGTGTCTGAGTTGGAGATCGTTTACAGTGGCAGTCTCCAGTGTTCTCCCCTCACTGTGACCTGTCACAACTGTGAGAATACCCAGGGACCTTAGAGGTGCCAGGAAGGGATCTAAGGGGTATAGGGTTGTGGGTTCATCCTAACCCTGCTCATATAGGCCCTCAGGGTTTGCCTGGTCCCAGCTTCAGTACTGACCCAGCCCTTCCCAGGTGCCTGTGGACATATGAGATCCAGTTCTCCCAGAAGGGTGAGGCGTATGCGCCCATCAGCAGGAGGCCGTCTACTTTTAACCTGTTTGTGTATAGCCCAGGTGCGCCAGAACCCTGACCTTGGAAGTTGTACTGCTGGACCTCAGTACAGTATGATGTCGGGTGGGTCCGAGGTTTTAGGAACTTCTGAAAACATGTGCTTTTGTGTCTGCAGACACAGCCATGGTCTCTGGCTCCTATCGAGTACGAGCATTGGACTACTGGGCCCGGCCAGGCCCCTTCTCAGACCCTGTGACCTACCTGGATGTCCCTGCCTCATGAGAGTCACTGGCTCCTTGTGACTGGTGAGCCTGTGCTGACTGGTGAATGGGGTCAGCCAGGTTGAGCTAGACTGCCATTAGCTAGTCAGTTGACTATGGGCTCCTCTTGTTGCTCCCCCATTTCCTTTTAAGGTATCTTCCTCTACCTCAGTCTTGGGGTTTACCTTCGTGGATGAACATCACAGAGGGCCCAGATGGAGTGACCTTTGTCCACCTTCTTCCCTCTTCCCAACTGTTCAAAGTTTAGATTTGGAACTGGGAAGATGACTCAGTGGGTAAAGCGCTTGCTGTGCAATCATGAGACTTGGGTTCAGATATCTAGCACTCATATAAAGACTGTGCATGGTGATATATGCTTTTAACCCCAGTGCTGGTAGGAGATACAGAGACAGGCCAGGGCTCACTGGCCATCCAGTCTTCCTGAAACTGCAAGCTCCAGGTTCAGTAAGAAAAGTCAAATAGAGACCTATAGAGAAGATAACTCAGTATTGACCTTTGGTCTATACACACACACACACACACACACACACACACACACACACACACACACACACACACACACATCACTCCCCCCAAATGCACCACATGTCGCACTATGTACACACACAGCAGTTCCTTCTCTGAGACTCAAGACAAACTCTTACCTTGAGATTCTGTAATATCAAAAAAAGTTATGCCCTTCTGAAATACAATTGCACAGGGTATACATCTCCATCTCAACAGGAAAGTAAATGACAAGGAAGGATTTAACTGAAGCAAGACCAAGACATGGCAAGACAAACATAAAACCCTGCAGGTTCATTCCCAGAATTGGGGCACGTTATTATGATTTGAACTCTAATGTGCTAGGCAGTTCTGTCTTTGTGGTGCTGCCATTTACAGCCCCCTATCACCTTTCTCCAAGGCTGGTGTCTTAGGTTTTCCATTACTGTAATTAAACATGATGAGCATGAGCAACTTGGGTAGGACAAAGTTTATTTCACTTACATTTCCACATTACAGTCTATCATCGAAAGAAGTCAGGGCAGAACCTGGAGGCAGGAACTGATGTAGAAGCCATAGAGAAGTTCTGCTTACTGATTCCAAGGCTTGCTCAGACTATGTTCTACACCCCAAGACCAGCAGCCAAAAAGATGGCACCTTTCACAATGGCCTGGGCCCTCCAACCTCAACCACTGAGAAAATGCAACACAGGTTTTTCCCGTAGGCCAATCTTGTCAGGGCATTTTCTCAATTGAGGCGCCCTCTTCCCAAATGACTCTAGCTTGTGACAAATTGACATAAAACTATCCCAGCTTTGCCACATATTATCTGGCCTCCCAATTCTTCCTTTGAAATCTGTCTGGAAGCCTACATAACCCTGTAACTGTAATTCTTGTCTAAGCCAGCATCCTGTGGATCACACAAAGGTCTTGAAGGGTAGTTGAGGACCCTTGGGCCATCCATAGCTGCAGAAAACTTTGAGTGCCTTGTTTCTTAGTCCCATGCACTTGGGCAGAACATCATGAAGATGGCAACTTGTGTTGGGGGTGGTGTTCACCTCATGGGGAACAGGAAGCAAAGTAAGGATAGAAGTAAGTGTAACCTTCAAAAACACTTCTTCACTGATCTGCTTTGTTCAACTAGGCCCTACCTCCTAAAGTTTCTAGAATCTCTCGGAACAGAACCACTGCCTGGAAACTAATTGTTTAACATGTAAGCCTTTGGGGGTGAGGAATACATTTACTATTCAAAATAAGCTGGATATATCACCTTGGTCCTGGCCATTGGAAGAACCCTCTCTCTTTCAGTATCGGCCCCTGGTGTGCTAAGATACAGTTACTTACATCCCTTCCAGGTGGCCTGCTGGTCACACATCTCCTTAATCTATTCTGCACATTTCCCTTCTCTCCAGCAGCCCATGGAAGCCCAGCCTAGGCCTCTGCTGTCAAACTTTTCCAAGTTAGGATTACCGACTGTCCAGGAAATAAGTCTGAATGGAATGCTTGCACATACTGCAATGGCTACATCCAAATTCAGAGTTCCCCTGGCTTTGTGCCTCTTAAAAGTGGGCAGAGTGAATGGCATACAATGACCTTCTGTAGTGCTTTTTATCCCTTTGTGGGCCCTTGAACCCCTGACTCTTCAGTCTCAGGTCACCCCAGTGCTTACGGGTGATTACCACCATGACCCCTCACTTGAAATAAAGTATGACATTTCCCACTGCCATGGGGTCATTCAGGAAGATCCTGAGCTTTTCAGAGCTTATCTTCCACCTCTTAGAAGTATGCTTTACTAAGCCCATTCAGGGCATGTAACTTCTTGCCCACCAAACCCAGTGAGTATGACCAGAAGATTGCATTAATTTTGGAAGAATGATGTCAACAGACAAAACTTGAGGTGTGTGGACATCCATTATGGGAAAATAGACTGCTCTTAATGAGACAAAGAGCACTTTCCAGTGGAGGAGAAGCTGATGTGTCAGGCAGCCAGTCCTCAGATACAGTGAGTGTTGACATGGTCATAATGCAGTGAACTTCCAACATTTAATATCCTTGGGGCAGGTTATGAGGATCTGGAGGAAGACCTCTCAATCTCCCACTCTGTCCTGGAAACTAAAAAAAGGGCCTCATGGGTGGTCTTCAGAACAAGTCAACGTGGCCCACTGACAGATGTCCCTAAGCCTCACTGGAAAGTAGGTCACTTATTTTTCAGGTGACAGGACTGCAGACACTTGGACCCATTATCCAATGTACTCTTTCAGGTGGGACCTAGCCCCCCTTGTTCTAGGTTCTGTGTCAGCAATTAATATGAGGCCCTGGAAAAACATTGTGATCATTTGTGCTGGCAAAGGGTCCTGTGGGCTCATGTCCACTCTGCAGCCTATACTCTGTGGTAATATTTCAGGCTCTCTCATCTTGTTCATGGTGTCTTATCTTACTGGTCCCTTCAGTGCCACAGACTTCTGCAGGCACATTGTTGTGGAAGTGCTTGAGTAATACCTGTATTCGAGAGCCAGCTCTAAGGCATGCTGTATGCCTGTGGTGTAGTTGCTTCCAAAGGGCTTTGGATACTATTTGGTATACTGACGATTGTCCCTGTGTACATCATGAAGGGGGTATCACAAGCCTCCTAGCCACAGTATGTGCAGGTAGGGTATTGTCCAGGTCACTCATCCTGACTTTTGAACACTGAAGGTACTCAGGCTCACACCACAGATTTCAGGCCCTAGGTAGTTAAGGCAGGAACTGTTGAGGAAAACAGCTTACCAGTTTGCTCTTCAGGCTTGCTCAATTTACTCTCGTATATTAGACAGGTCCACTTGTCCAGAGGTGACATTATCCACAGTGGGCTGGGTCCTCACACCAATCATTAATCAAGAAAATGTTCCTGAGACTTGCCTACAGGCCAGTCTGATGGAGACAATTCCTCAGTTGAGGTTTCCTCTTCACAGATGATGCTAGCTAGTGTCAAGTTGACAAAACCTAATAATGATAGAAGGTCTATGTCATAATGCCACTTCTGGCCCTGATGGCCAGGCATAGTCAGTCCTTGGTTCTTCTCTTGGTCTGACTGCCATATCTCCTTTCCTCCCTTGCTCCTCCTCACTCATGGCCCTGTTCAGTTTGGACCCTTCCAGATGCATCTGTCTGAACTCTCCCTCGTATCTACAATAAAACTCTTCTCCTCAACCACACCTTGGAGCAATCATGTCCTCATTTTCGTTCAGGGTGCTGTATTAGTTACTTTTCTGTTGCTATGATAATACGCCAATGACCAAGGCATCTATGGAAGAATTTATTCTGGCTTAGTTTCAGAGGGATAAAAGTTCACCCTGGCAGGAAGGCATAGCAGTAAGAAGCAGACATGGTCCTTGGAGCAGGAAACAGAGATCACAAATCTTCAACCACACACACAAAGCAGACAGAGTGAGCTGGAAGTAGGGTGAGGGCAGAAATTCTCAAAAACCTGCCTCCAGTGGAGTGTCTTCTGAAACACCATCTCAAAATTAAAAAAGTAGTACTACGTTATATACACATATGTATTATGTACATTCCAATATACAAGGAAATGGAATATGTATTACCTTCCAAAGGGCAGGAATGGGGGTATAGAGGGAAAATACCAGACCAAAGTAAGATTGAAACCCAGGAAGGAAAACAATAAATCCTATAGTTCCATGTTTGGTGCCTAGGACTTTAGTTTTATTTGTTTTTTTTGGGGGGGGGTTCGAGACAGGGTTTCTCTGTATTGTTTTGGAGGCTGTCCTGGAACTCACTCTGTAGACCAGGCTGACTTCGAACTCACAGAGATCTGCCTGCCTCTGCCTCCCGAGTGCTGGGACTAAGGGCGTGTGCCACCAATGCCCAGCAGGACTTTTGTTTTAAAGTGCTTAGATGGCACAGCCTCCCACACTTTGCTGCCTGCAACATACATCTCTTTTAGAGACGGTTCCAGTCCCTGCCCACAACTCTCCTTGGCAGATGCCTCATGGCTGAGCATCTCCAACATCCTGGGGTTTTGGTTGCAACCCAGCTTAGATGTCACAGCTTCATGCAATGGCCTCTCACAGCCACTTGTCCTTTTAAGGCCTTCACACAGGGACTCCGCTTCCCAACACTGCCTGACTTCAGCTGGAAATAAAGCTGCTGTGAACATCTGTGTATATATCTTTTGTGGACATTCATTTCTGTTAGGTGTGGGCCTGGGTATATGATGGCCAGAGCATACATTAGATTCAGGCTCAGTTCTTCAGGAACCTGTTAAACGTCTCCAAATTTACACACTCAGCCAGCACATGTGACAATCAGTTTGCTATTCCTACTGTGATGGACCTTTATATCGTGATCTTCTATCTTGCCACCTTGCCAAGAACACACAAGTCGTAGTGGACACAGAAGTGTCCACACAGTTATCTTTGTCCTTTACAAATAGGGAATGTTCTACTTCTTCCCTCCAATCTGGGTCTCTCACTTTTTTGTTTTGTTTAGTTAAGGCCTTACTATGTAGTCAACGTTGACCTCAAACTCATACTCCCCTTTCCTTAGCAAGAGATCACAGGTGTACACTGAGTAAAGGCGACAGGTGAAGGACGAACAGAAGTTAAGACTGAACGTAAGCATCTAGTGCCTCATCTTGAGGGAAAGTAGTGGTCTTTCCCTTATGTGTGAGGTGGATGATAATTTTTTCTTTACATTTTTACTTTGATAGCTACCTTTTGCCAGGCCAGAGAAATTCCTTTCTGAGCCAGGCATTAGTGGTGCATGCCTTTAATCCCAGCACTCGGGAGGCAGAGGCAGGTGGATCTCTGTGAGTTTGAGGCCAGCCTGATCTACAGAGCGAGTTCCAAGACAGCCTCCAAAACAATACAGAGAAACCCTGTCTCGAAAAAAAAATTCCTTTCTGTCCTTAGTCTTGGAAAGTGTCCATTCTGAGAGTCAGGAAGGTGTGCTGACCTGTCTTGTGTTTCTCTGTGTCCTTGTGGCCATTACTGTGGCTTTCCTGAAGTGGCTGGTTTTTGGAGGTACAGCCAGTTTTGCAACTGTAGAAAAAGAACCCTTTCCTGATCATGACTTAGTGTCCTTTCTTACATTTGGGAGTATGTGTAGAACCTTATCATCCTCCTTGAATGCCTGGTGTGGTTTCTCAAGGGGTCTAGGTTTTCATTTTGTGTGTGTGTGTGTGTGTGTGTGTGTGTGTGTGTGTGTGCACGGGCACACGAATGTTGCCTACTGTGTTTGTGTGTGTGGGTGTGTGAAGGTTTTAATCAAAGCTTCCAGTTATTTAATACACATGGACTGTTAAAGTTACCTTAAAATTTTTTTCTTGAGTTAGTTTTGGTAGTTTCTGTCTTCCAAGGAAGCTATCCATTTTGTTTGAGTTGTCAAACCCACTGACATAAAATGATTTTTATTCTCTATTATTCTTGTAATTGCTTCTGCAGGGCTGTTTGTATATGTTAACTTTTGTCCTTCCTCTGTGTTTTTCTTTGTCAATTTTGCTGTTGTTTCCAGTGAATCATGTTCTGGTTTCCTCTACTTTCTCTACAACTTTTCTGTTGTGATTCTGTAACTTCTGTGGCATGATATTGCCATCCCTCCAGGTTCATTTGAAGGACTTTTTAAATCAGTATTGTTATAAATTTCCCTACCCCTTTCACTCATGCATATTGGATAAGTGCTCTACCACTGAGTGACACTCATCCCTGTTGTTGATTTCTGCAGTAATTCCATTGGGATCAGAGGACATGCTTTGTATTATTTGAAACCTTTTAAATATATTGAGACTTGTGCCTTGTCCCCAAATGGTAAACATTATTATGCTAAATAAATTGACATTGTTGTTGGTATCTTATCTAAGGACTATCACCACAAGATATCTTTGGGGAATGCTGCAGTCTCTCGATGTAACTGTAGACTTGACCATTTCTCTGCTTAGTTCTATTAGCTTTTTGCTTCAGAGATGTTTGCCTGTTGTTAGGGTTTCATGCCAATTTATTTGTATAGAATGGCCCTGCTGATCTCCGGCAATATTCTTTGTTCTACAACCCACTCTGACTTGTCCAGATTCTTTTGACTAGAATTAGCTTGATTTGTCTTTTTTTAAAACCTACTTGTGTCTTTAAAGAATGTTTTTTTAGATTGCATATAATTAGCCCTCCTCCCCAAATCTGAACAGTCTCTGTATTTTATTGTAAATGTTTAGAATATTTATATTTACTGTCATTATAGATAAAATTGGGTGTATATTTGCTATCTTGGTTTTTAATTTTTTCCTTCATTCTTTCTTATTCGGGATGATTTCCCCCTCCCTTTTCTCCTGTATTGCTTCATTGTGTGTAATTCATTGATGCTTTAGAGAATTTATACTAAACTTACTTTTTTAGATTGCCCAGGGCCCAGTCTGAACTCCTAAGCTCAAGTCATTCTCCTGCTTCAGCCACTGGAGTAGCTACAGCTGCAGAGAATGGTGTCACCAAGCTCTGCTTCCTAGTACGTGTTTTTAGCCTGCTGCAGTCTAGCTTCAAGTAGCAGCATATTGCCTCATAAACAGAAAATAATCACAACATTACATTTCCATTTTTCTTTGCAGAGCTTGTGCTGTTGTGATTATATATTTTAAACTTTCATGTAAGTGGGGTGTGGTGGTGGTGTGTTCCTTTAATCCCAGTACTTGGGAGGCAGAGGCAGGCAGGCAGGCAGGCAGGCAGGCATTCAGATCTCTGAGTTTGAGGCCAGCTTAGGTTTTTTTTTTTTTGTTTTGTTTTGTTTTGTTTTGTTTTTGTGAGTTCCAGGCTGGTCAGAGCTACAGATCAAGATCCTGTCTCAAAAACAAAAACAATCTTTTTTTTCATGTAAGCTTTAAATGCATTGCTATTTCTTACTTCAAACAGTTGTCTTTTAGTTTATGTGTATGGGTATCTTGCTTGCATGTATGTGTATGTACACCACATGTGTGCCTAGTGCTCCAGAAGGCCAGAAGAGGGCCTCAGAAGCCCTGGGACTGGAGCTACAAATGGTTGTGAGCCACCATGTGGGTGCTGGGAATTGAACCCTCTGGAAGAACAGACATTCTTTCCAACTGCTGAGCCATCTCTCCAGGCCCCTTTAGCCATTTTCCTTAAGGGTATTTTTTTCTTTTGTCTTTTCTTTTCTCTTCTAGAGATTCCAGTTTTATTTGTACCTCCCACTGGAATTTACTGACGTCCCCTGATGCTTCTTCCACTCTACCCAGCCATCTTCCTCTGTTTTCTTTGCACAGTTCTGTTGCATTCAAGTCCAGTAACCCTTGCTTTTGCCAACAGCCATCACCTTAATTCTGGGCACTTGATTTCATGTGTAGAAATTGGATTTGCAGCTGCAAGTCTCCCGCCCCCATTATTGTATGCAACATCTCCATATTCCCTGTAGCGCCCCCCCCACACACACACATACACACACACACTGTGGTCCAGGCTGGCCTAGAATTCATGCTCCTTCCTCCTTCCTCAGGCTCCTGCGCTTATATAACTGACCACTCTTGGCTTCCTACAGCAGCTAAAGTACAGAAATACTCACAGAATGTAATGTTTCTATTTTCTAACTCGGCTACCTTTTGTTTCTGGTCAATTATGAGTGACTGCCCCCACCTTCTCCATCTGAGTTATAACTTTATATTTCTTTTCGTGTTTTTATGGGATATCTGGGGTTATGCTGAGTCTTTGTATCTCTGCACATGCTTCTGGGGATGCGGCTGGGTTACTTGGAAGCTGGGAGATCCTCTGGGTCTTGTCTTCACAGATCAGGAGGGGGCAAAACTACTTGGTCTGAACGATCCTCCCCCACTTCAGCTGAGGCAAGCTTATTTTTTTATTCTTGCTGTCTCTTGAGCTTTGAGATCCGACTTGGGCGGTGGACACTGTATCTGACTAACCCCTAGTGGTTTCTATTCTCCCGGTATTTCCCTCCCTAGCCTTCTCGCTCCTCTCCGGAGGCCTTCTGTGCTGGGTGGAGTTCTCCCAAGTCTCTGGAGCTCTGTGGATTTTGTCTTCTTGCCTTCTACCTGCGTCTCATCTGGGCTCTGCCTGAGGGTGATGAGGAAGGACAGTAGTTGGCCACCATCTTCCAAAAGGTGCTGTGTTCCTTTGCATCCATGTCTCACGCCTTCAGTGACTTTCACACACACTTGCCACTGTTAATTGGTTCAGGTGAGAGTGCA